GGGGGAACAGCTGCTCTCAAAGGCCTGAGGCACCTCCTTGTCATTTCTACCACGGGGATGTTATTTCTTGGCTCATCGCCCTCCAGTATGCAAATGTTTGCCTGTTTAGAGTGATAACTGGTCCACCAGAAAATGTGGGGTTCGGGGCACGTTGGGGCTGCAGTGGGGGACAGTGCACACCCAGCCTGTGCTCATGAGAGTGGCTTCATGGTTAAGGACTCCAGTCCTAATGGGCTGGCTCTAGGCGTGGTTGGAGGTCTGGGCCAGTGCCCAGGGTGGGTCCGGGGTCCGGGATCCCACTGCTGTCGCACTCCCAGGCACGCTGGGCACAGAGGGGTCTTCTCTGTCTCCATATCCCCAGGGGGTGACATCGTGGGTGCCCAACTGGACTCCTTCACTTACACTGCATGCAAGATACACTAGGGTCCTTGTGCGGGTTGACAGTTTGTTCCTGTCTGTTGATGAACAGTATTCCATTGTTTGTGTAGTGGGGGGAATAACTTTTCCTCTGTCTTTCTAGGGTCTTGGCTGACCCCCCTTCTCAGTTTCTAGACAGTTACCCTTCTGTTCCAGGTGCACCTTCACCAAGGGAGATTTCCCTTATAAATGGGTAAGTTTCCCTCACACAGGGCAACTTCTCAGCCTCCAGAGACGCTCCTGTGTAGGCTGTTTTCTAAAGTAGTCCAAAACAATCCTACGCCAGCGAGGCACGCTGTGGGTGGCACACGCTGCTCCCCTCCTCTGGTCCTGCACCGACGTGCTCACGCTTTCGCGTACTGAGGGGCAGCCGACGTCCGTTCTGTCGTTGTGACCAGCGTGGCCTCAGCACCTGCAGAGGGCGCCGGGCTCCCGGCTCTGCCCCCGGAGCTGCGAGCCCGTGCACGCGCCCTGCCTGGGGCCAAGCGCAGCGTCCGGGAAAGCGGCTCCGTTTCCTCTGGACGCCCTGGGGCCGGATCTGTGCCGACTGGAGCTTCCTTTCCTCGGCCCACGGGAGATGCCACCGCGGGAGGAAGGGGTGGGGAGAAGGGCGGAGGGTCCTGTGCAGACGGAGCGCTGAGGCCAGAGCAGGGGAAGGGCCTGTGCAGAACCCGCAGTCTCGGCGGGCGGCCAGTGCCGCGGCGGTGCGCGGGGCCTCTCCCTGCGCGGGGCCCTTCCCTGCGGGGGGCACCCTCCCTGCGCCGGCCTTTCCCTGCGCGGCCTCTAGCGCGCCGGCAGCGCTTGGCGTGTTCATACTGAGCTCTGCATTCTGCTCCACTGACCTGTGTGTCTTTTATTCCAGCACCTCACTGTTTTGGTTACAGGGGCTTTGTGACATAGTTTGAAGTCAGGGAGCATGATCCCTCCGGCTTTGTTCTCAAGATTGCTTTGGCTCTTCAGGGGCCCTTTGTGGCCCTCCGACGTTAGGATTGTTTGTTCTATTTCTGTGAAAAATCCCACTGGAATTTCGAATGGCATTTTATTGAAAAAATATTATGAACTGAATGAGTAACTCTCTGTGGCAGAGAACTTTAGCCCTCCATCAAAATCCATTCTCCTTCCCGGGACCCACAGCTGGACATCTCCCAGCCCGCCTTGTGGCCAGATGACAGTGTTGTTCGTTGCCAGAGCAAAAACAAAGAAACTGGTGTGCGCCATTGCAGACCTGTCCTGTGCAATACTCCCGCATGCATTTTCCCATGGTCTCCCCACTTCTGCTCACAGATACAGAAGGAAGTCATGGTGGTCCTGGGGGTGGAAAAGTCACATGGTGAAAGCGCTCTGGTTTCCTGATAACCACATGAACAAGCCCAGCCTCTCCACGCTCAACGCCCATCCAGAACTTGTTTGCAAACATAGGTAGTGATGTGCTGCTGAAGTTAAGGGAGTCACGTGCTGATGCAGCACAACTCACACACCTACCGACACTGAATGGCAAGGTTCACTTCAGTGGGCGCCAATCTAGCACATGTAATGCAAAAGTGTAATTGGCCTGGCTGCTTTTACTTTCCATTTCGGTCCCTGCTAATTTTACACAGTACTTCACCGCATAAACTTCAATCACTCAAAATATTTTTATTCTGTCTTAAAAAATAAAATCAGAATTAAACAGTATTGGAAAATGTTTGTAAGAAAGTATTTTCCCAAGAAAACCCAATATAATGTTTTAATTCTTTGGCCCTCCTGGAAAAACATAACACGGTGAACTAATTGATAGTCCGTATTTACATTTAATTCATTGAAAGTGCCTGAATTAGGATCACTTTTGTTTGAAATAAGTGGCATAATTTTTGTCCACAGCGTAATTGACAGCTCTGCCTCTCTAAGAAAACTTCAGTGTGTACTTTTGGATAGTCTGTTGATCTGAATCAAATGAAAATTATTTTTCTCCACCAACTTCCAGTCAGTGTTCTATTTGCCACGCCCGGTTTTATTGACCTGGGTTATTTTACTGAAAATCCTCACAGGAGGGTCCAAGTTCTTCAGGTGGAATGCTGGGGCCCAATCCATCTACGCCGGTGACTTGCAAAGATCCCATTTGACATGGCCTTTGCCCAAGTCCAAGGGTAAGTGGTCTAATGCTCTGCCACTGGCTGCTGTACCCACAGTCTTGACTTCAAGGCACCAATCTTCTGTGCTCAGAAGTATCTCTGAGCATAGGAAGCATACTCCCCAACTCCAGGGGCCTAGGGTCATGGGCAGAGAACCGACAGCACCTCTGTGCCCGTGAACTCTGGGTTCCCGCTGCAAGCCCCCAGGTCCTTAGAGGATGAGACCCAGGGCTTCTCGTCTTGACCCTCCACCCCTCAGTGGGGTGGGGAAAGAAATGGGCTGATTCTAGCGGTTTCTCCCCAGAGCTGTGCATTTCAGACCCCAGGCGCTGTCGTCTTCTGCCGGCTCTGCACACAATCCTGGCCCAGCAGATTCTTGGGGCTCTGGGTTCCCATGCCCATCATCTTGACATCTCCCCTCTCCATGCTGTGGACCCTGGTCATGATCTGGGAGACTGGAGGCTGCTGCCCCACGGCAGAGCTGTCTCGAACTTCTTTCTCCTCTTGGCTGAGTCACCTGCCCAAGCTGCACTCCTCCTCTGCCCCCATGCCTTAATGTCCCCTTTTCTGATGTGAGTGGTTGTATCGTGTACCAGTGTGCATTTTCACTAGAAGAGCCCGTGCATGGGCTAGGGTGGGCTGGGGTCCTGGGGACTCTCATTCCCTTAGCAAACCCCATGAGTGGAGTTCAGCCCTGCCCCGGGACTCCCACATTCTCCATCCATCCAAGACTGCCATCAAGTGGCCTTGGGCTGTCCCTGCTTCTCCCAGGCCTCAGTTTCCCAATTGTACAGCGGTCGGTTGGACAAGGAACTGCTAAAACCTGCATCCAGCCTGGAGGTGGTCCAGAGTCCCAGCTCCCTGGCAGGGTGTTGCGGACGCCAGGAGCCCCGTCTGTGTTCTTCAAAGGGTAGAGGCACTACGACGGCACTGAGTCCTTCTGCCCTGTGCTAAGGAAAAGGCGTCCACCTCACCTCACTGTGTGGACAAACGGAGGAGGGGCAGCTCCCCAGAGTAACTAAGGCTCAGCCACTCCTGGAGGGTGACAGATGTGGAGCAGGTGAAAGCTCAGGGTCTTTGGCATCTACGGGCAATGTCACCTCTGAATCACCCTGGTGGATACGAGGTTGTATCCCAGGGATGTGAAGGGATGCTTCGCAGTTCACACAGTGATTCAAAACAAAGCTAGTACCACCCTTATGACTGGATCTCCCTGCCAGAGCCGAACCAGGACGATTCAGGCACAGACACGGGGAAATTCCTGTCACTGTCATGGAAGAGAACTACGGACATGAACAGTCCCTGCTGAGGTTTGACTGCCCACCCCAACAGGACCCCATCACGTCTGCCCAGCCCTCGCTGGCTCTGGGAAAGGCTGTGGTGCAATAACCACGTAGACACAGAGAAGGCGTGCACAGCTGCCCATACCCACCGAGAAAGTGATACGTTACTTCCAGACAAGAGCATGCTGTACAAGACCCTCCAGCTCTTTCCCTCCCACCGCAACTGGCAATGGTCCAGTCGGTGGCTTCTCTGAGGAAGCGGAGCAGACCCCCAGCAACCTGCAATGGACAGGAAGTGTGAGAGAGACCTTGTTCTAGGCCTGAGTTGTGGGGGTTGTTTCCACAGCATAATCTAGATTTGCCTGACAGTCACAAGGCCCTGAGGCTGTGAAATTATGTATTTTAAGTCTCTCACTGAAAAAACCTTCTGAAGACTCTTCTGTGACCAGCCACTCTCCCTGTTTTCTGGTGACCTCTCTAACCATTTCTCCATTTCCTCATGGACTCCACTTCCTCTGCCTAACACACTAAACCCTGCTGTTAACCAGGGGTTTATCCTCAGCTCATTGCTGTTCTCATTCCATATGCTCTCCAGGGAGGCCTTACCCACCCTCTTGATTTATCCACATATACGCTGAAGCCATCCAAGCGATCTCCAGGCTGGCTTGGGGTTTCCCTCTCACCCAAAGTCCTGCTGGACCTAGCTGACCCATGAAGAACATAAATCCAACCTACCCAAAAGCAAATGCATCATCTGCCAACCCCCCCGTCATGACCTCCCCCTACAGTCCCTTCCTCAGCAGCACCTCAATCTATTCTCACCCAGATCAGAAACCAGACAGTAATCTAGACTCCTCTCTCCCCCACCCCCACCGTCCCTCAACCAACCAGTTCAATCCACTTCACCTCCCTAAACTGTTTATTATTGTTCGAAGGGAGGGGAGATTGCTTATTTTTATCTGTTTAATGCTTATTATAACATATACTAAGAATTATTGCGGGTTCAGAAAACGTCTTACTTTGGAGTTGGCTGACAGTAATGCTCTACCAGAAGAGGGCAAATGGTTTGGTCCAGACCAAGAAACGAAAGCTATAATTTGCGAGGGCACAATTACGAAATTATGCCAGTAGCAACCTGCATCTCCATCTCATCTCTTTAGCCACTTGCTTAAGTAAATGTCTCAGAACACTACCAAAGCTTTCACTCTTTATTAAAGTCTCTTACACATTACTCATATCGTTCAAGACAGCAAATCTTACGATGTTTTTATGGAGTTCTTTTCTCCTTATGTCTATGAAGAAAGCACCCACTAATTCATCTCTACTTTCTCTAACCTGCTTGATTTTCTAAAACTGAATAAAGCAATTCTGGTTTAGTAAAGCCAGAGCCAATGCTTCCCCACAACTTCAGTTAAAATACTTGTAATTCCCAATCATGGTGGATCACAAACGATACCTGCACGTTATGGTGCAGCAATGTGCCTGCTATCTCTTATTTTAACGACTGCACAGCAGCATGTGCTCTATCACCCCTGGTCTTCCTCAGCCTCAAACAAGTCAGAATGTATTCTCCATAGAGCAGAGTTCTCACGGCAGAACACTAATTTACAAAAGACCGGGGGAAAAAATAATACCCAGTTTTTATTGCTTTACAATAAGCCAGCAACAAACACAAATGAATAATTATAGACAGGACACTTCTAAATTCTCAAATGGATTTACAAGACCAGAATGTGCTCCCACACTTAAAATGCTTTTAAAACTGAAATCCACTTCTGCCAAGAACTTGAATGTTCTCAAGCAGAATCAATTTACTTGAAGGGGCAAAGAAAACCGTCAAAAGTACTGCTATGTGTGATCATGTAATTAAATGCATATTATACTCAATCCAGACAGTGTTTGTATCGCACAATGGAGATGACCATCCCAAGCACTTCAGGGATCCTAATATTTTTCTTTTTTTCTACAAACTCTTCTGCAGAAAGTGCTATCAAGAGAAACTCTAAAACCCAACAATGCAGAGCAATTTATGCCTCATTTCTACTTCTTTCCTCATGATGGAAAATTTGGTGAGTCCTTAACTCAACATGATAGAAGCTCTGATTTCTATGCCAAATATCCCACTGTACAAGCAGAAAGCCCACGATGGAATCAGGCATGGAAGGGTGATACACCTAAAATCTTCAGGTTGTTTCAGAAACACTGGCAACTTCCTTTCAGTGACCTCCAAAAAACTGTGGATTGTCACCATTTTAGTAACTTCAATTCAGTAGTAAAAATGACATGGCAGGTATTCTTAGTACTGCCTGAAATTCAGAGGGGAGGGCGCCGACAAGATTTACGTGGCTTGCTCCAAACAGTGGATCTAAAACCTGACTGTTGGGAGTGTTATCAACAACCTGAAACTGCTTACTCTAAAAAACAGTGCCAAATCAGCTGATTTATTTATCCAAGCTTTTCTTTCTTCTAGACAAAACATAGCTTTTTTCTCTCAGACCACACCAGTCACGGTATCACTAGTTAACTTGACTGGGTGGCTTTATACTCCTACACCAAACAGTCTAGCTGGCTGCTAGGGGAAAGGTTTCCTATCTTAGAAATGTATCATGTGAAGTCTTAAAAGATGTGTGTGAAAACAATTTTTAATTGCTTGCAACAGCAAAACGTTAAGGCAACATCAGGAAACCAAGGTGTTTAAAACACTAAGCGCTACCTCCAAACACACCTGGTAAACAGAGCCAAATGATACGATGTTACTCAATCCTTTAATACAAAAACTTCCCAAAATTATCTGTTGAACTTGACTTTTCAGTTTAATTCTATATTTTGATGGCAGTGAGAGAACCCTGAAGCTATAACTCCCTTGCAAAAAATTTCAACACCTGATTTACTCACCTGGCTTAAAATAAGAGAGGAAAATATAAAATAAGTGTCCTTTGCTTGGCAACCATCCTCTTTAATTATCTGTCTTCACACTTGTGTATAGATGGTTAATCTGAATATAGAAAATACCGAGGATCACTTCTGAAGACTCACAAGACAATAAAACTCCCCCATCAAGTACATCAACAGCATCAGGGAAAGCAGGAAATGAACTTTACCAAGGAACTGACATTTGCACTTTTGACAAAACTGAATTACAAAGCAAATTCACTGAAACAACAGAGAAAAACCTGTCCTTGTAAAAGCTATTCTTTTACCCCCAAAGAAGTGTTTCAATTATGATACATACACCACACAACTGGCTAAGAAAATAAAGCGCGGTGCTTAGCAACAGGACATCGTAACTACGGTGAGCAACACTGTGCTCACCCTCACTGGCAACCACTGAGGTCAGCAGGGCCAGGCCTGGGCAGAGTCCCTATTTCTCTACACAAGTTGCTGCTGTCTCCTTATTAAAGCCCCGGATGGAGAGGTCATAGACCACCTCCTCTACTTTCTTCACGTCGTACTTCAAGCCATCGTAGCGCTTCCTCAGGGAGTCGTTTTTCAGGTTGAGAAGGCGGAAACCGGAATCCAGCTCATTGATGAAGGTGGAGATGTGAAGGGGCCGGGAGTAGTCTCCAGCAGTCACGCTGTTGACAGACAGCCTTGACTACACAAGGAAAGAGAAACCAGGACACGTTACAACTGGGCTCCGCCTCAGCATGTCCTCCAAATCACAACTACAAGACCCTCAGGCTACACAGCTTTTATATAGTACCTTTGACAAATACAATTTTGATAAATGTTTAATATTACTACTAACTTAATAACTAATCATTTTATTTGATTTCTACGATTTATTTTTCATAAATATTAGTAAGCCCATAGTGAATACCCTTATAACAGCTTTTTTTTCGTCTTTAGAATTATTTTTGTAAGATAACTTCTCAGGAAAGAGACTAAGGGGATAAAAGAAAGAATAATTCATACCGTTACATAGGCAAGTTGTTCTCCAAAACAATTACATAAGTTAATACAGTTACCAAAAATATGTTTTGCCACTACTTTGAAACAAAAAGGTATTATCATCTTTTAAAAATTCACACATTAGTAAATACGCACAGCTATCTCATCATTAGAACTGGCATTTCTCTGATGACTAGGAAAACACAATACATACAGTGCACAGTCAATGACTATCTGGTGACCAACAGATGGCTTATAAATGAATCAGACTCCCTGAATTTTTGTGCCCATTTTAAAAAAATGAAAGCAAAATGGGAAGATGAAAAAACCAATGGCTCCAGGACCAGACAGCTTCACCGGTGAATTCTACCAACATTCAAAGAACATTTAACATCTATCCGTCTTCAACTCTTCCAGAATATTGAAGAGGAAGGAATGAATGTTTCCTAACTCATTTTACATGGCCAACATTATTCTGAAACCAAAACCAGTCAGGGACAACACATACACAAAAAAGACTACAGGCTAGTATCTCTGATAAACATAGACGCAAAAGTCCAAAAGTCCTCAATAAAATACTAGCAAATCAAATACAACAATACATTAAAAGGATCATACACCACAATCAAATGCAATTCATTGAGGGACATAAGGATGGTTCTACATTTGCAAATCAATCAACGGGGTGCACATTAACAAAATGAGGGCTAAAAATCATATGGTCATCTTACTAGATACAGAAATAGCATTTGGCAGGATACAACATCCATTTATGATTTTTAAAAAAAAAATCTCTCAATAAGGTAGGTATAGAAGGAAAAGTACCTCAACATAATAAAAGCCATGTAAGACAAACCCAAAGCTAGCTAACTTCATACTCAACAGTGAAAAACTGAAAGCTTTTCCTCTAAGATCAGAAACAAGACAAGGATGCCCACTCTTGCCACTTTTACTCAACATATTACTAGAAGTCCTAGCCAGAGGAATTAGGCAAGAAATAAAAGGCACCCAAATTGGACAGGAAGAAGTAAAACTGTCACTATTTGCAGATGACATGATTTTACACATAGAGAATCCTAAAGATTCCATCAAAAAACTGTTAGAAATAATAAACAAATAAAGTTTCAGGATACAAAACCAACATACGGAAATCTGTTAAATTTCTATATACTAACAATGAGCTATCAGAAAGAAAAATAAAGAAAACAACCCCATTTACAGCTGCAATAGAAAGAATAAAATACCTAGGAATAAAAGGAAACATCTGTACACTGAAAAGTATAAGACAGTCTTTCTTGAAAGAAATTAAAAACAAAAATAAGTGAAAAAACATTGTGTCCATGGATTGGATGAAATTACATGGTTAAAATGTCCATATTATCTAAAGCAATCCACAGATTCAATGCAATCCCTATTAAAATCCCAATGGTACTTTTCATAGAAATAGAACAACAACAAAAATCCTCAAATTTGTACAGAACCACAAAAGACCCCAAATAGAAATCCTGAGGAAAAAGGAACACATCCAAAGGTATCACACTACCCAATTTCAAATTATACTACAAAGCTACAATAATCAAAACAGTAAGATAATGGCAGAAAAAGACACACAGACCAATGGAACATAACTGAGAGCCCAGAAATAAACCCACACATATATGGACAACTAATTTACAACAAAGGAACCAAGAGTATATACAATGAAGAAAATCTCTCTGGACAGCCCTAACAAAAGAATGAAACTAAAACATCATTGTACACCATACATAAAAATTAACTCAAAATGCACTAAAGACTTGAATGTTAACCCTGAAAACAATAAAACACACAGACGATGACATAGGCACCAAGCTTCTGGTCATCAGTCTTAGTGGTGTTTTCATGAATTTGACTCCAAATTCACGAAAATAAATAAATAAACAAACAAACAAATGGGACATCAAACTAAAAAGTTTTTGCACAAGAAAGGAAACCATCAATAATAATTTTTTTTAAAAGGCAACCAACCAAATGGGACAAGATATTTGCAAATGGTACTTACAGTAAGAGATTGATATTGAAAATATAAGAACTCATACAACTCAACAACAAAAACTACCTAATTAAGAATGGGCAGAGGATCTGAACAGCCATTTTTCATTGGAAGACATACAGATGGCCAACAGACACATGAAAAGATGCTCAATATCACTAATCATCAGGGAAATGCAAATCCAAACCACAATGAGATATCACTTCACCCCTGTTAGAATGGTTATTATCAAATAAACAAGAGATAACAAATGCTGGTGAGGATGTGCAGGAAAGGGAACCCTCATACACGATATTGATGGGAAAGTAAACTGGTGCAGCCGCTGTGAAAAATAGTATGGAGATTCCTCAAAAAAACTAAGAATAGAACTATTATATGTAGAACTACCTATTTTACTTCTGGGTATTTATCCAAATATGAAAACATTCATTTGAAAAGACATACAGTGTGTACACTGAAGCTTTATTTATAACAGCCAAGATACATAAAAAAACTTAAGTGTCCATGGGTGGATGAATGAATAAAGAAGTAGTGGTATATATACAATGGAATACTACTCAGCTTTAAGAATGAAATCTTGCCATTTGTGACAACACGGGAGGACCTTGAGGGTAGCATGGCAAGGGAAATTAAGATGGAGAAAGATAACTATCGTATGCTCTCATATCTGGAATCTAAAAAAACAAACAAGCAAAACAAAACAAAAACTCACAGATACAGACAACAGACTGGTATTTACCGGAGGGGAGGAAGGCGGGGAGTGAAATGGTAAAAGGGGTCAAATACACGGTGACAGATGGAAACCAGACTTTTGGTGTGAGCATGCAATAGAGTATATAGATATCAAGTTATAATGTTGTATACACCTGAAGTTTTTATGCTATTAACCAATGTTACCTCAGTAAAAAAAATACCAAAAAAAAAAGGCAAATGGCAAATTACTAGGCTTATTACCAGTTCACTAGCAAGAATGAGAACTCCTGAGAGATAATCTTCTACATCCAGATGAAATCCTTTCTCCCGATCTGGCTCAACTAAAAAAATATCAAAGTAAAGATAAGGTCAGGATGTGAATAAAACTTAAGCCTTAGCATTTAAATGTGTGCCTGCGCATGCGCGCACACACAAACACACACAGAACTTCTCTCCAGGTAAATGGAAAAAGGATGAATCATTTAAAACAATATTTCTTTCCCTAGTAATTTTTATTTTTCAGTTACAGTTGACATACAATATTTACCTTGGCAATTAGACCTCACTGCAAATTTTTCTAGTTCTTAAGCAAAATTCAATTTTCCCTTCCACTCTTCTCTCAAAAAGTAATACCATAAAGAATGGTACCTAGTTATGTCAGAGAATATCTGTTTTTAGAAGATGCAAGGACAAGCCATATCTGCAACTGACTTCAAATGGTTTATAAGTGCACACAGATGCACACATGCACACACACACGCAAAGTGAGGCTAAGCAGATGTGGCAAAATGTTAACAAGTAGTGAGTCCAAGTGAGGTGTAAACAGGTGTTCACTGTATTATTCTTCGAACTTTTCTATAGCCTTCAAATTTTTAAAATTAAATTTTACAGCCCTGGCCAGTTGGTTGGGCATGGTCCCATGCACCAAAAGGTTGCTTGTTCAATTCCCAGTCAGGGCACATCCCCAGGTTGCAGGCTCGACCCCCAGTAGGGGGCGTGCAGGAGGCAGCCAATCAATGTTTCTCTCTCCCTCTCCCTTCCTCTCTCTCTAAAAATCAGTAAAGACATTTCAAAAAAATTATATTGTACAAACAAAACACCCAAGTACAAAGAGCAAGCCACTACATATTTTTAGCTTTTGTTTCCAAGTAACTAGTTCTCCACCTAGTTCTCATTTATTGTAATAGAAAGTATAAGCCAACAGCTTCTCCCACCAGAAATTAACCTACTGTGCCTGACTCTCCAGACCAATACTAATGAAGACACTTACTGCCAAGAATTTCTGTGACTGCTTCTCGAGTCACTAGTGTTTCTGATTCCAAGTACACAACAAATGCTGCCAAGAAGACCAACCGCTGCAACACAAACCTCCAGTGCTCGTGAAATCTACATGAATACAAGCATGTTTAGGTTGAGGGACTAGGGGCCTTTAAAAAGACAGGTTTATACAATCAAGTTCAAAGGTTTTAGAATCAGAATCCTTTTTCAAATAAAATTTTACATGAAACTGCAATATATAAAACATGTAAGAGCAATATGATGTTTAATTAAATGGATTTAGTATAAATTTTGCAAGTTCAAATTTATAATAATTACTTATTAAAAGTTTAATAAATAAGCATGACGCAATTTTATGAATAAAAAAATTTACAACTGAAGATTATGGATGACAAGTTTAATAAATAAGAACAATGATAATGCTCTGAGAAAAATAAATATTGGTAACTGAAGACTGATGAGAATCACAATGGTACATCAGCTTCAACACCTAACTCATCCTACAGTTTGAGCACAGGATATCATAAAAATCCTGATTCACATATTAAGAAATAATTAACACTTGCCATCACTAAATAGAGACTTAAAACATCAGGATACTACAATTAAACTGAGCTAGAAGCCTGAAAAAGAAACAGGAAATTTGACAACTCCTTATTTTCAAATGTGGCAACAAATTCAGAAAAAAAACTGTCAACACAATGCAGGCCAAACAAAACCTTCTGAGGGCGAAATCAGCCACAGGGCACCTGTATGTGACCTCCAAATTACATGGTCTCCAAAGACCCTGACAATTCTATCATCCTCCTTCTCTATGCTTCAGTTACTACCTTCACAGGGTTTGGCAAATTTTCTCTGTGAAGGGCCAGATAGTAAATATTTTAAGCTTTGCAGGTCACTTTCATTCTGTTACATATTCTTATCAGACTTTTTCTTTTTTAACAACCCTTTAAAATAAAGAAGCAATTCTTAGCTTCCAGAGGCAGCAGGCGACAGGCAGTTTGCCAATCCCTTCCTTAAAATTTTAGGTTCTTATTTACCATATTTCATCAATATTCAGATGCAGCTTTTCTGCTTAATATCTGCAAAATCAGGATGCATTCTACAATCTAAATGTTTCACAATTGTGATTGGCAACAATTTTTCTTCCACAGAGGTACATAAAATGTGTACCTTAAAATTAATGGTGGTATAAATTCAACAATATATGGCATAAAATATTAAATAAATATGTTACATGGCAGTGAAATTCAAGCTTTGAGGTAAAACTCAACTCCATATATACTGTCACCTAATCCAATAACCTTAATAGAGATATGGTCCATCCAATCTCACAAGTAACTTAAATATACTAAAGAGATATTCTCTATTTTGACCTCATACAACAAATATTTTGTTTTTAACTGCTTTTTCATTGCAAAAATTATACATGATCTTTAAGAAAATTTTGAAAATAAAAAGGAAGAAAGTAGTATCACCAATTTTGTCACCATTAAAATACTGCCATTAACAGTTTGATTCTGCCCGGCTGGGCATGGCTCAGTGGTTGAGCATCAACCTAGGATCCAGGAGATCACAATTCAGTTCCCGGTCAGGGCACATGCCCAGGTTGCAGGCTTGACCCCAGTCGGGGGCATGAAGGAGGCAGCTGATCAATGACTCTCTCATCATTGATGTTTCTCTCTCTCCCCCTCTCCCTTCCTCTCTCTGAAATCAATTAAGATATATTTTTAAAAAAAAAGTTTGATTATTTTTCTCTTTGTTGCTTCGTCTCCATAGAGGGATTTTTACCTAGTGCTAAACAATTATTCCATACATATAATTTTTCTCCCTTTTTTTTTAACTTAACATTATAAAATAATGCTACTTTTCTTACAAACCTGTAATACTGTTCAGCAGGGAACTTGGTCTTCAAAGACATTAGATGTGTTTTTACGGTACCAAAATGTTCTCGAGCTTTCAAACACCTCTTTGGAACTGATCACACACACAAAAAAAGACAATCAAACATAATAATGAAAGACAAAATTTCAAATACAGTTATTGCTTATTAATATATGCAGTCTACCTGGAAATAAATCAACTTTTTTAAAAAGCTCATGACAGGGTATGCATCTCTACTTTTCAACCTGGCTTTCAAATTTTCACCTCTAGTTTCCCTACTGATCAACCAATACTGAAAAATAAACAAACAAAAACTTGCTGAAAGGGAACGTTAGGAAACACATCGGGAAACTATCATTAATAACCTCATCCTTAAGGGGCTGTGCACCCGATGCATTCCTAGGCAGTCCTCAAAGGAGGCCTAAAATTGAATTGCTTCTAGCTCTCATATTTGGTCAAAAAGAAGTTTTAGCAATTATTCTCAATCAGGCTGACCAACTACATATCACGGAGAAAAATGCCTTGCCTCTGACACCTGTAAATCACAGGATACATCATTCTCTATCTGAAAGTGTATTTCGGTTCTTTCAGTTGTGCTGGCTACAGCTTACAATGGAGGTTCCATGTCTAAATTTATCATAACTGATCTCCATTCAAGGGGCTAACTATAAACATTAGAACATTTTACACTGGCCATTTCTACAAATGCACATTAAACCATACTCGTTGACTGAAAGGTTAGGTGGGTTTTTTTAAGGGCCAAATAAAAGATACTAAATACACAAGTGAACTATGACACTGCCACCATTAAAGTCAGCAGGACTCCACCACAATAGAAAACATTCCATATCACGTGAAAGTGGAATATCAACCAAAACACAGAATTCTGTAAACCTGTAAAAACGAACAACTCACCTACTTCTCCAATTTTTATTCACCATAAAGTACAAGGAGCATTTTTCATAAAAAAATGATACAGAGGTGAAATGTCTTTTGGATGGAAGCTCTTTATATGAGATTATAAACTGGATTAAAACCTCCAAAATCAAAACAAAGCACTTACTGTCCTGAAACCCAGCACCCTGATGGACCCCTTGTAGTAGAGTTAAAATCTCCCGAGCTGTTTGTTCTAAACTCTGCACTACTTTTCGGATTTCCTAGAAAAAATTAAAAACCAAAGTATCAGATAAATTCAACACCATTATTATCACAGCCTCAAACCAAATATGCTATGTAGCATATTTGATTTATAACACCTTCACATACATTGAAAACACTAACAGTCTTTACAAGGACTGAACTGGTACAGAAAATATCCAGGTTTGAATCCTGACTTCTCCACTTACTTCCTCTATGAGACCTTCCGGAGTCATTAAAAAGCCTTAGGCTTCTCCACCCACGCACCCCAACTATCCCACAGGAGCACTACAAAAATTAAAGGAGGTGAAGTATCTGAATGTAGTTTGTAAAGACAAGAATGAAATGCAACACAAGGGATGGGTATTTTTCATTCATTCATTTTACAAGTATTTACTGAGCATATTTACCTACTGGGCATTGTGTAAATACCGGGGAACCAAGTACAGTCCTCTTCTTTAGGGCAATATAATGAGGGATACAGACATTTTAAAAATAGGAATTGCACAAGTTTCTTAAAATAGCAATGCGTTACTAGAAAACGTAACAGGCAAAAGACCACTTGGAATGTGAAATCAAGGAGATGAATATGAGATAATCAGGAAAAGAGCGGAAAGAAGCAAATTTCAAGAAGGGCAGAGTACATGCAAAAATTCTGAGACAGGCAACTATTTGGGGAACTAGAGAAATGAAGGGAGGTAAAGTGAACATAATACACAGCGGAAGATGGCGTAAAATGAGATTGGACACAGACACACCCAGAGTGTTGGATTTTTATCCTACGTGGAATGAGAAGCCAGAGGAGTTTAGAGAGGCCAGACGTGCTTTTAAGACACCGACAACACATAAACCGCACGTTATCTGAGTCCCAAGAGCTAAGTGAGCCTTTGATGTAAACAAGTGCTGAAAAGGGCAAACACACACTCCGGTGAGGGCAGAGCGAGGAGGCGAGACCGGAGTCGGGAGCGGGAGCGGGAACTCGCCCCACGCTGAAACGCGAGGGAAGCACCCCGCCCTCGGAGGCCGAGCGACCGGGAAGGACCCGGGGCTGGGCCCACCTACCAAGGAAGGGAAAGGTGGTGAGGAGAGGGGCTCACCTCCCGGATGTCCTGCTCCGCGGCCAAAAAGCCCTGCAGCTCCACGAAGATCTCGCTCACAGACATGGCGCCGGGGGCACCGCGATCAGCCAGCGGCGAGGACGAGGGCTGCCGGCTAAGGGAGCTCCACAGGCAACCCGCGCGCCGTCTGTCGCCAGGGCCACAGCCACCGCTGCACCTTGTCCCCGGGCCCTGCGCTGCCTCCGTCGCTGGGGTCCTCCGAGGCCCTCGGCGCGCCGGAAGCCGGGCTGTCCGCCGCGATGCCTGCCCGGGAGCGCGCTCGGTGGGCGGGGCCCCTCCGGGGACCTCACCGCAAACCTCGCGGGAGACAGCTCGCGGAGGGGGCCTCTGGGTAGGGGGCTGGCGGAAGCGCGGGTGCGGCTTGACGGCGGTGCCGGCCCGTTAACCTACACGTTGTATTTTACGCCACAGCACGGGGGCGGGGTGTGGTTCGGTACCAGAGAGGCGCGGGAACGAGGAGAGTGCAGCCTTCACCTAAGAATAAGAAAACGCATTAATATTTGCAAAAAGTACAAGGAAACAGCAAAGTGTGTGGAATGGAGTGTGAGCAAAAACTTTATCCCTGTGCTCTTTTAACGCCTCCTGTGTATCACCTATTTTTTAAATTCTGTGACTTTACACGTGTCAACCAACGGTCCTCACCAATTCAACACCGACAGGAATCCCCAGTTTGGAGCGTGGTAGAGAAAACTTTATTCAGTGCAAACAGCCCAGTCGCGAACAGGCCTGGCTGTGAAGCAGCGCTGGGGCCAGGCCCTCTGGCCGGCACCCGGCTCCGCTGCAAGCGTCGGTCCGCTCCTGGGCCGGGGAAACGGTCTTCCCCGGGAGGGCAAGTCGCGGGAACAGCCCGAGGGAGCGGACGCACGGACACAGGTCCCCTGCCCCGCCCCTCGGCCCCGATTGGTCCGTGCTCGTACCTGCGGGCGCCAAATCGCCACAGGCTCATTGCTTCAAAAGGCAATGTCCTGATTGGTCAGAATGGAGCCACTCTGATTGGTCAGTGAAGAAACGGGCTGGAGCTGGAGAGCTCCGAGGAGGCGGGAAAGCCCGGCGGCTGAGGGGAGCGGAGCGGGCCTCCCCGCGGCTGCCGCAGAGGCCGGGGCGCAGCGCCAGGGGGCGCTCGGCGCGCTCTCCCTGCAGGGCGGCGTGCGTGAGAGGCACTGCGCGGGAACGAGTGCGAGGCGCGGAGGTTTGGTTTGTTTCCTTTTGTATTAATTTGAGCCCAGTCACTGGGAGCCCTTGTTTGTAGTTATTTTCCTTTCTTAGGGTCCACAGTGTATAGTAGGAAATTTCTCTTACACTCGACTAACACCTCCTTCCCCCAGTTCCACTTTGTTGACTAAAGCACGGTAAGGATTTGTTTGTCCTTGCAGCATTCTCCATACTCCTACGCAACAAACGCAAGCGCGCACGTCTACAAGCAGGACGGAGTCTCCAACTGAATTAAAATCACTACTCGTATCAACAAAATGGTAGTTTATTGTTTGCTTTGTGCCAGGCATCATTCTAAAACTTTACATGAAGGATCATGTTTTATCTTCTCATATTTCTGTGAAGTTGATACTGTTGTTATAAGTGAAGTAACCACGGCAACAGGTTGGTGTGTTTTTTCTCCTCCAAAGGCCACAGGAAACTAGTAAATATTGAAACTGGGATCCAAATGGTTTGTCTTAATCATTATGCTGTTATCAGCTACCTGCCACTTAATAATATTTGCAAGAGGCTTTAAATACCTTGTCTAACTTGACCTCTCCAGCCCTATTATGTAACAGGTTAGAAAAGCTCCGTTTTAGCAACTTGCTCAAACACAAGATTTTTTCCTTTTTTTGTCTGTGCTTCTGACATCATGTTATCTTTTGTTGCCCAAAAATTTAGGCAGTAGAATCTCAAAATTCACAAAAAATAGCAATAGGACCTCATTTTTATTGATTTACTACCCACCAAACATGTTCTTAGCACCATTTTTGTATATTAGCTGACTTTATACAAATCCAAATTCATTTTTTAAATCCTGCTACGTTTCTCCCTGCCACTCAAAGATTGTGACTTTTAAAATTCTAGCAGAAACAGGAGTCTTCCAAATCTCTTCGTATCTGAAAAATCTAAGGTGATTTTTAAGCATACTATAAGGGAGTCTTTTCTCATTTGTCAAATTAGAATTAGTAATACCTACCTCTAAATGTTATGAAGATTAGCAATAATGTGTGTGAAAGACTACTTTCCGTCTCTGAATTTGACTACTCAAGTGCCTCATAGAATTGGAATTCATACAGTATTTTTCTTTTTGTGAATGGCTTACCTCACTTAGCACAATGACCTTCACATTTATCCATGTTGTACTTTGTGTCAGAATTTCCATTTTAAGGCTGAATGTTCCATTTTATGTATATACTACATTTTATTTATTTATCTGTCAATGGACATTTGGGTTGTTTCCACCTTTTGGCCGTTGTGAATAATGCTGCCATGAGCGTGGATGCAAATTATCAGCTCGAGTCCCTGCTTTCAGTTCTTTTGAGTATGTAACCTGAAGAGGAATTCTTGGATCATATGGTGATACTATGCTTAATTTTTTGAGGAACCTTCATACTGTTTTATAAGTCCTTTATTTACTCATTATTATTATTTTAATCCTCACCCGAGGATATTTTTTGTCCATTGCTTTTCAGAGAGAATGGGAGGGAGGGGGAGAGGGAGCGACATCGATGTGAGAGAGACACATCAATTGGCTGCCTCCCTCACACACCCTAACCACTGAACCACAGTTTGAGGTACGACAGCAAAACTAGCACAGATTTCTTTTTCCTTCTTCACAGTTTCACAAATTTGTTCTTAGCAACCTCAGCCTATATTTTTTCTTTCCTTATAAGTCGAGAACTTTCACCTCTTCACTTGAAGTATTTTATGGCTTCTCATGGCATATCCAAATTGCCAGCATCACTACCATACTTAAGTGATTATATAATTGCTCAAATAGAAGCTCAGTAAAATTATAATTCTTAAGATTGCGTTTTATAAATGAGGTTTATTTCAAAGTGCATCCCTGATTCATTGTTTCTTTTCCTTCCATTTTCAGACAGTGTAAGGGCTGGATTCCAATTGTCGCTGTTTACCAAGTCTCCATAACATGAACGGCAGTAGGAATTTTACATGAGCAGTCTTCTCACTGGGGACATTTGGAACTCAAAAGTCCATTTCTACAGACCAAGGGCTGACTTGACTCCCGTGAGAGAACTAATGTGTCTACCAAATAATTTTTCTTTAAGGCCTCTGATGGCTCTCACTGTGCTTAGGTGAAATCCAAGCCCCTTCCTGTGGTCCCTGAGGCTCTGAGTCAGCCCCTCCACCTAGTGCTGTCTGACCTCCAGACCCCAGGCCCCCCCAGCTCCTCCTGCTCTGCCCACAGGCCCTTCAGCCTGCAGTGCTTCCCCTGCTCTGAGTCTTACTCTTCCTCCACCCCAGGTGTTGTGCCCTAGGTGCTCTCACAGCTTCCCATTCAGAATCATTGCCCCGCTCCTCTTTCTCACCCCACCTTTCAACTTGCCATTAATGGCACTTTTTCAACATACAATCATACAATTTTTGGTGTGATTATTTGTTGACTGTGCCCATTCATCCCACAGCTCCATTTTTTTCATTTTCTGTATCCAGTGTTTTTCTGGCAGAGAATTGGGGGTGCTTAAGGTATTTGGAGGGACAATTCTTTCTTGCCCCATATGTTAATCAGATTATGCCTTGATGATGATGCCTAGCAAACAACCTCTAAATCTCAGTGCTCACAACACTGATAGCCATCCGTATGTCTGGCTGGGCTGGGTTTGGCCAGGCTCAGATCTGCTCCCTTCTCTCACATCTGGAGCTCTTTCGAGGACCCAGACAGAGGGAGCAATGGCTGCTTGAGTGCATGCTTTTCATGATGGATGACACAGAAGAGTGAGAAGAACAGAGGATTCGTCTTAACACCTTCATTTAGAAATGGCACAGTCTCTCCTTCCCACATTCCTCTGGTCAAAGCAAATCACATGAAAAAGTCAGTGGGTGAGGTGCTGAGCTCCTCCTGAAGCATGCAACCCTCATTCTTCAATCATGGAGCATGTAGCCCTCATTTTTAATCTGTTAACCCTGTTCTATATCCCTGAATAAGCAGTTACAAGCTAGAGCCAGGAAATAGCCAACCATAACGGTTAAACAATGCTTGTTTCGGCTTCTGCACATGGCTTCGCTAGGTTCCCACCCCTCTCCATGCCAACCAGGATGCAGTTTTGCCTTTATATTCTCCCCGTGAAGACTGTTCAGGGCTGCGAGTTTGTTTAGGACAGGAGTCTGCTCACAGTTGCCGGCTAAATAAATTCCAAACTTTCAACTTGGTCTCTGTGTGAATTACTCTAGCAAAAACTGAGTATAACACACCTACAGGAAAGCACAGCAAAGGGGCAAAGAAAGAATAAATGGTAGACAAATAACAGGATGGAAACACTGGACTGACCCACCCGGTGCTGTTCAGTATGTGGCTCATGGGTTGAGCACCGACCTATGACCAGGGGATATCCTTTGGATTCCACCCTCAGGGCACATGCCCCCTTGCAGGCTCATCCCCAGGAGGGGCCATGCAGGAGGCAGCCCATCAACGATACATCACTGATGTTTCTCTCTCTCTCCCTTCCTCTCTGAAATCAATAAAGATATATATTTTTTAAAGTAGGCCCTACGTTTTGGTGGCACCACCAAGTTGGTGCTGTCCTCCTGCCTGCCACGCGTAGGCTTCCAGGTCTTCACATGCGGCTCCTTCCAGCCTTCAGGGCTCAGCTCAAACATCTCCTCCTGGAGGCCCTCCTGAGGCACCCAGTGTGCCCCTCCCCGCGGGGCTCTTACATCTCTCCACAGCACCAACCCCACCCCCAATGTCCTTTGTCCCCTCTCCCTCCAGTCTGGGAGTTCCCTAAAGGGAAGCGACACGGGGACACACAGTAAGGGCTCACAAAGCAAGCGAGTGAAAAAAGGAAAGAATTAAAGAATGGATACCAAGGCCTCAAAATCAGGGGTATTGTTCTGGAGTTAATTTTTTAAAATATTCTCCCTCCCGCCCC